TTTGTCAAAAATAATTTAAACATTCAAAACGAGGAGAAAAGCAACCAGAGGCTAAAGACTTGTAAAGAACTTTTAATACTGTGGAACCTCCAGATAAGATTATACTGTAATCTGTTCCAGGACCGAGCTCGTAACTTGAGGTGCTTGTATCTCAAATCATTTTTTCCCCTAAGAAATAACAGAAAAAATGAATCCATACCGGCCCCTTTAAAAAAAATCCCTTATTAGTGCTAATAACAATGGAAAAAAACATGTTTTTAATTGCTGTTGAGACAAACACAAAAATGATAGTATATAAGGATTCCTGTGATATAAAATAAAATGTGGTTTTAATTATGAGTTCTTACCTTAGAGACAGATGATACAGTAGTGGCTAATGGCGGAGGAGGAGGGAGGAGGAGAGTTGGCCCGTATGTAGACACTTGATTCTGTAGCGTACCTTACACGTAAATTACGTAACTTACATAAACTTAGAATTAACTTAACTTACGTATATTATTTTTTCTTACTAAAGGATGGTACATATCGTGGATGTACTGCGATCATACATGCGTGCTGGATCACTCACATGGGCACCATGCTCATATTTATTGACTCACCACCATCCTTACCACTCACTCTCTTAGGACTCATCACTATTATGAAGAATAATGCACAAAAAAGAGAGAAAATCACATAGATAACGCAAACACAAGACTCATGCGTGATGCGTATGGAAGTGGACAAACACGTGAAGTGAACGAGGGAGGCGGTGTGGGCTGCTCCGACTGCCCGGCCACCTAGCGTTGACGTCTGTGAGCGTGCTTGTATCTCAAATCTTTACTCGTATCTCGAAGCAGAAATATGCTAGGAGACTTGCTCGTATCTTGGAATACTCGTACGTCGAGGTTCCACTGTATATGTAATTAACTCTTCTCACGTTCCCCACTTCTCGTCAACTTTCCTTTTTTTGTAAGATCTATTATAAACAGTCTGACCATCATGAAACTCAATTACAAGATATTTACAGCTGCCGCTCTGTGACCCATTAGTTAGAGTCTTCAGAGTGCTGGTTATTTTCCCAGCTGCTAGCATTAAACGGGCAGCACGGTGACAGCCCCATCCATCCTTGTCTCCGAGTTTGAAATTCCCAAAAAGCCCATTATTCACCTAATCCTGCTGACGGCAAGGTAAGCGTGCGACGGGAAATGGACAGGCTGGGGGAAAGTCAGGAACCGTCCCTGTGGTCCTGTGGCTCAACAGGAACTTTAAAAAAATGTTGCTTCAAGAAACTAAATATACGTTTTCTGTCGTCCAACTGTGGAGAATGAAGTCGTTGGGAAATGTGTTCTGTTTGCTCGCCTAAAAAAACAAGCTACTTATGAAGAGGTGACTAATTATATTTATGAATGCATTACAAGGAATTACGACGATACACATTGGACACATGACGGGACGAGTTGACACAGGGCGCCAGCTCAGCTGCTCTCCGTCTGAGGACAGACTTCACACACAGACGTCTGCTGTGAAGTTTGCTCATCTGTGACCCGAGCACACACTGACTGACTGCTCACAGATACACACACACATGCATGCGTGCGGGGGCTCAGTGCCTGTGAGCTCAGCAGGCACACAAGCATAATTTACTGCATTCTGCTGCGATATTTTAGCTTCAGGACAGAGACAATGACACACACACACACACAAGCTCATCACCCAGATCTCCTTTTCTCTTCACAGAATTAAACAGCCGTCAGTCACACATGGTCAACGCTCACTCACAGGCTGTCACACACACTTGCTTTCCCTCGTAGATCATACCAGCCTGACACACACACAACACACACACACACTCAGCACATATACACCAGTCAGCACCTACTTACTCACAGGCCTCTGCATAAACACGGTTACACACCAAGGCACCCTCTGTTCTATTCACAAACACGGTGAATCGAGTCGTTACTGTTCGCTCTTCTTCCTGCTTCTTACTATATCACAGAAAAAAATGTTGACATTAAAGAATAAAACATACATGGTTTAATCCAAGATATGTGCACCTATACTGTTATTGGTAGATTTGGAGTAATTTATCTGAACAATTTTGTGGAATAATAACAATTAATCATGATTAATCGTGATCTTAGTCTACCACGGTTAAATATAAAATAAAAATCTGTTCACTGCAGGAACAGCAGGTAAATGTTTTTAATTGTGATTAATTGCAAATGATGGCGTCATAAAAAGTATACAAAGAAAATCTCTAAATATTGCTTCATATAATTAAAATAAAACTTCAGCGAAGCTGTTGTCTTTCTGCGTTATGTACATAACGTTAGTATCAACCATGTGCTGTACTACAGGAACGATACCGTAAGTGGACTGATGGCGGAGTGCGATCATTCTGGTCACGTGTTCAATTGATGTTATCTAATTAACAAAATAAATAATGAAACGAACGCCTTTACTTTGAAGTCAGTTTTTCCGACTTCATGCGCTTCGTCTGCGTCACGTCATGAGATGCAGCCGAGCTGCCTGGTGTTGTCACGCCATTTACATTACTTGTGTATGTGATGCTAATGCTCAATCCACAGCTATCGCTTTTAGTGTGAACGCCTCATTACGGGGAAACATATATAGAGGTCATTGATGTTTGAGATCATTTAATCTTTGTGTACGTTTAAGCAATATGCTGCTCGAAGCAGCAATCAGAAGATGGGTTCACTGTGGTCATAATGAGATGGGCATAGTCGGCATCAACACAAGAATGATGCTCACATGCAAAGTGCGCTACAAGGAAAATCCCTCATCCATGAATTTGCTTCCACCAGCCTGAAACATTAACAAACAGGATGGGCCAATGCTTTACATTTCTTGTAAAGACTAGTTTCTGATTGGACCATTTAAATGTTTGAATGACTTTTCTGTTCTTCTGGTTGGTCAGTTTCAAATGTCGCCTACAGATCTTTACTGTCACTTTTGTCTTTTTCTTTTAGTAAATAGCATCATTTTTTTGTACCTGTCATGCTAGCCTGTTTGACACCAATGGTCAGGCCAAGTCAAGGTCACATAAACAGGGTTCTACTCAAACATGATACTTGTTTGAAATATGGTATAGTATCAGTTACCAAGTACCAAGGAATAAAACACACCTTTATCAACTATGGATGTTGCTCAGCCACACTCTTCCTCTGACATGTTTCTGCTTCTTCTTAGCCTTGGGTCACATTCACTGGCCATATGGGGGGTTGATGTGACCCTGTGTGGGGTTCACTACCATTATATGCCTGTGCTTCTTTGATTGGTCAAAAATGTCTTTTTCCCCTGCTGTTTGATTCATTGCAAAAAAGATGTCAATCATTCCTGATGTTTTTTTCCCCAGGTTTTATCTCAGTGTGTTGCCAGCCCAGTCATGGTTCCATGATTTTAAGCTGTTTTTTCTGTTTTGTCAGAGATTCAAAAAAAAAAAAAAAAAAAGAAAAGTGCTGCAATCAATTTGACGTGTTGACATTAGTTTAGACATTTTCATCCCCTGACAAAGGTTTATATCAGTGTGTAATCACAATTTTATTTTCACTGATTCTAATCCGTTGCGCAGTGGGGTTTTTTCCCCCCAGTGTTTTCAAGGTCTAATGGTGGACTTCAGACTTTCCAAGGTGTACACTTAAAAAGAAAATCAAATGTTCCCATCGTCATGGTTCTGAATGGTAATGGAGAATACAATGTATTACAGTTTTTGTTTTCTCATCACAAAGAACTGAGTCTGAAAAAGGTGTGACGGTGTGAGGAGGAAGACAGAAAACCAAGGTCAAAGTGTCTGTGTCAAACGGCTCTATAAAAAAATGAGGATCAAATATGTACAAAGACGTAAATGCTGCTTCAATACAATCCACTCACACAGTGGTATTTGCCTGAACAGGACACTTGCAGTGTGTCAAGAAGTGTTAGAAAAGATAAAGGGTAATTTCACTAGACCACAGTCGATGCATTCCCTCTGCCCTTCTCTCTCTCTTTTTCCCACCTTTCCTTCTCTCCTCTACTCTTTTAATTTAGTAAAAATAGCCAGTAGGCAGATGGAGATCAAATTTATTCACTCCCTACCTGCACTCCTCTGCACAATTAGCATCACACTAACTTGTCATTTCCAATTGACACGCTGCTGTTGTGGTATATAATTATTTACCTGCCTGGGGAATAGCTCTCTGGTTTAAGCACTAAATAACACACATGCACACACACACACACACACAAGCAGAAGGAGCTTGAGCGTCTCACACACACAGAGCACCTGTGCTCTGTTTCTACCAAGACATACTTAACCTGCTCTTACTGTTCCAAGGTCATCGCATATTTGCACAAAAGTGTTCGGTTTGTCCTTCACTAAACATGAGGGGCGGGGGGTTGAGTGTTGATTCCTAAATAAAAAGAAAAATAACGAATTGCCTTTCACGTGATTCTGTGTGCTTAAATGGTTCTTTCTGCTTCCACTGCTGTGTTTTGGAGTTTGATCACCAGGACCCAAACCCTCGTCCTCCTCTGATAGGTCTCTCTCTTTGCCTGGTTTTTCATTGTTTTTCCTCCGTTTGGAGGAAACATTGGGTCCTGTTCTTCAAACCGCCGATGCCTTACTCCGTCATCACGTCACCCCCCCTCCCCCGTTCCCCTCCCCCTCACTCCCACCGCACACTTTACAGTCACCTGTCTGAATTACACGTAGAAAAATGAAGTCAACAGAAAAGGATATATTTGAGGGGGACAGCAAGAAGTGACGTCTTTTTCTTGAGCAGGGGGACAGACGTTTTCCTTGATCTTGTGTCTTTTCTTGTGATAAATCTGTGTCTGTGATGCCTTTTGTTTTTCGGTTTTTGTACTCTTTTTAAAGCAAACTAAACTCTTGCTGGTTTGTCTTTTTTGCTCTTGCTTCTTTTCTTTTTTTGACATTCTTCTTTTTCCGTTTTTGCCAGTAATCTTTTTTGAATTTTCTCTTTTCTCTTTTTCCCCCCTTTTTTTCTTAACCCTAGGTCCGCTCACAAAAAAACACGATGAATCTTCAATGAACAGGCCTCGAGACGAAGGTATTTTTGTTGCATGTTTTTCCCTTTTTTTCTTGTTTTGAAGTCTTTTTGGGGGATGTGCACACACACTCACAGACACACACAGACGCACGCAGACACACACTCATACACTTAATTGCTCACATGTACGCATACACACACACGCACACACTTTTTGGGTAGGACCTTTGGATTCAATGCTTCCCGACATGTTGCTGTAAGTGTGTCCGCTGCCTTCTTCCTTTGCGACTCATTAGCCTCATGTTACCTTGGATGATCATAACACCTGGCTGATGGGACTCAGCTATTCTTCATTAAAAAGCCATCTACAGTCTGTTGTGTGTGAGTTTTTTTTTTTTTTTTTTTTTTTTCAAGCGCTTGTTCCCTCTCAAATAATAGAGAGCCTTGGACATGATCACCATCGGAACTGCGCCCTTGGAAATAAATTGGCCAAATAACAAGTGTCGTCCTGGAAAGCAAACTGTTATTGTACTTGGAACAAACAGGACTGTTATTGAGACAATAGCACGCAGGGAGTGTGTTGTTGTTTTCACTCTGCCCCTCACACAAGGATGGAATTGCCATTAAGTTGCGATTGCTAAAACTAATCCGCAGATATTCTTGTTCCAAATCATTAGAGATTACAAAAAAGAATAAATAATAAACAGCATCCAAGGACATTTACACCCAAAGTGAACCGTGTGGGTTTAATCAGGAGCAGACAAAAGAAAACACACATGTGAATGTTCCTGCAGCACTTCCACTGCAGAGGTGATTTCAGTCTTTCTGCCCTTCCATCCACCCCCTGAAATCCCTCATCTTTGTTCTTTTGGACCTGTTTCTCTGAGAGAAAGATGACTGGTGATGTTTTGATACTTATTTCTCTTTATGCCGTTTGGAAGGTTGAATCTATCTCTCCATTCAAGATGCTCTTTGATTTGTTTTTGGGTTTTTTCCTTGCCTTTCCATTTTTTTTTATTCAAGTTGGGTGTTGGTGGAAGTTTGACACCAGAGGATTTTCTTTGTGATCAAACGCCAATGCGCAGACACTCAACATTTTCTTTCCAGCTGACACAGTCAGCAAACTGTCAGAGCAGCTCAGATGCTCCCGGCGCTGCTTAGAAATCATTCCTCATCCCTCATCCTGGCAAATAATTAACCTCATTTCATTAGAGGCCAGTTTTTCTTTTATTCTTACTTCGCTCTGACCTGGAGGTAATTTCTAACACTAACAATTTCTAACAAAAAAACAGAACAAAACAGCATAATAAACCTTATTTCAACATAACTGACTTCCTAAACTTAGACAAGAATGTGAAATACAAATACAAAAATCGGCAATCAGACTGATTAAAGAAATATTTATAAGACCAAAAATGAGCTCAATCCATCTCCTTGTTAACCCACTGGTCGTCAGGAACTCTGCGTAAAATATTTCCATATTTTTAATATGTCACAAACAAAGAATCTATCTCTTAATTATGATTTTTTTTTAAATTAATTACTCCCTTTCTTGTGGTCTCATCGTAGTACAAAACAACACCATGGCATTCTCCATAAAATTCTTATTTGCTTAAAACGATTTGAATTTGAATTGATTTGACAGTAGACTGCCATCTGCAGCAGGTTGCACCATAGTCTGTGCCAACCTTTTCTGAGCCACAGCACATATGTGACATTAGTAAAATCCTGGTCCCAAAAAGTACATGTAATGAAATACAGTTATCTTCTAATTTCTTATTTTCCCATATTTTATTTAGTCAGTATAAAGCCCAGGACTGTTTAGTTGAACACAACCCTGATGTACTGGCAGAAATTGAAGAAAGTACAATACAGTACTTATAATAATAAATACAATATCTTAAATCCAATATACGTTTTACATTATCTTTATTTATTATGGAAATCATCACATTTGATGGAGGATTAAACTGAAAAATATTTCCCTCGCTCGCTAGAAAATACAGTAGAGGACAACTTTTAGAAATAATACATATGAATATATATAGATGCATATATATAGATATATATGAAGTTATAAAAGTTGATAGTCATTATCTGACTCATTCAAGGATAAAAGCATTTATATTATTCATATAGATGCAGCTTTTATGTTCATATACATACATATATATATATGTATGTTGTCCATAAAAGCTGAATAAATTAAGTGTGTGTTGACCTTATTTGCATTCCGTTTGAGGTTTGAATACTGGGCACCTTCTGTTGTGAATATCAAATAGTGTTCTCTCCAGCCTTATTTTGGTCTCCGCCAGCTCCCCTGTAAAAAGAAATAAGCCTCAGATGTTGGACAGGTGGAGTTTGCTGTGGGGTTATTAAAGCCTCGCGGCTTAAAATAGCTTCGTCCTGGTGCTTGAAACAAGATCAATGAGAGTGTAGTCTCAGGGTAGAAAACTTTCATCTAACAAAAGGGTAATTGTATTTGTACTTATGGCTGTGTTATGAAGTGTGATCCCTTGCACACGGCGCATAATCATATGAGGCAATGTTAATATGAAATTATCGATCAGCACAGCTTTATGGATTTTTTTCTAATATTTCTTAGTGGATGAAAAGCTTTTTAATTATATATATATATATTTTTTAATATTCTATTGTATGTCACCCAGTGGAAATAAATTAATAGCATTATCTGATAGCTTTGTGATTTATTGAAACTCCTTTCCTCTAGTTACACTTCTGTTTAGAGAGCGTTTTCACACAAATAAACAAGTAAGTTCGTATCTATTCATCTCAAAGTAGATCATTTTGTAATGTAATGTAAAATGTTTTTGTTTGGTGAAAAAAGTAAAGAAAAGACTCCTTTAAGGCAGTAACATTTGTCTTTTGCAGTCAATATCAAACCTAGGGCCCGTGGACCAAATCGCACCCAAGTCATTTTGAATAATCATGATTAATCAGGATCACGATTGCTTTTCTGCTAACTGACAAGCAAATTGAAGACAGATGGCAGCATGAAGACGTTAGTTTTTTGTCACTAATCCAAATCCCAATGTCAGTAAAAACTTACAAATGTTTAACTGAAAATCTAGGCTTAAAGATGGCTGAAATTGAAGCCTCCACAAACGCATGAGTAGAGATGGTATTTTAAGCTTACGGCGCTTCAGTGAAACGACGTTCAGTGAAACGACGTTCGCCCTCGGCGTGTGTCAGTGGCATCAAGTAGAGAGACTTTGGTTGAATTATTGGATGTAGAGTGTGTGTGTGTGTGTGTGTGTGTCATTCTACCCATGCATTTGCAAAAATATTTTAATGTAAATATTACAAACTCATTTCAATTTGCGAAAATATTTTAATGTAAATATTACAAACAACAACCGTGTGTTAGAGTAAAAACGTACACGTACAGTCTCTGGTGATGAGTGACGACGCAAAGAAGAGCAGTTAATTAGTTAAGAATAAAATGGAATGAAATTGGAGTAAAACAGCCCTACGGTGATCAAAGTACAGATAGGTGACTTTGGAGCCTTGTTTACCTGCTGCAGCACTGATGCTGATGAATCCAAACCTGCTCGTTAATGAGAGTTTGGTAGCTTAAAAGTGTGTCTTCCATCAGTTCCCACTTTAAGCAGAATGTCAGAGCTAATGATTGCCAAACGTGGCGACAGGGCTCCTTTCTGAATTTCCATTCATCTAATTGAGGTAGCGGCAATCACGAGGTGTCAGCGACAGCCGCTGTGAGCCCGTCTTGTCTTTTTAATCCCATCAGAAAGATAATAATTAACTTGATGTGGTAAGGCAGGAAACGAGAGGAGACGTTCGCAGAGCTCTCTCTTGGAATGCAGAATCAAAACTAATGTGGAGGAACACTGAATAAGTGTTGTTCAGTCTGTGTGAGACCAACCAGAATCAATTTTTTAAGAATCAAGAAATCTAGTTTTCTCAGTTTTACTCTTCGCATCTTTGTGTTTTCTGTCTCTTCTTGTCACGTGTCGTGTCCACTTTGGCTTTGACTCTGCTAACAATCCGCAGGCCACAAGGCATGATCCGCCCTGCTCTGAACCATGCGTCCCCTGTTGCAGCACCAGCTCACAGACCCTCAGTTTGGTTCACGGTGCCATGCGAGGACACAGACTTGGCCCATTTCATCTTTGCGTATAATTGGGAGCATGCCGGGAAAGGCTTTCCGACTAAATCTCTCCATCTCCTTAGGGCTTTTCAGCATAGACAGCACAATGCACATTTTTGATTTGGTAGGTGGGAAATCCGGAAAGACCCCCAACCTCTGTCTATATATGTGTGTTTTCCCACGTTTTACCTCTTCAGGTACTGGGCATAATTACTTTATAAGAGGATTTAAAAATGAAATGAGGTGACACGGTGACAGGATTGAGTAGAATATGAAAATAAATAATGAAAAATAGCAGCGACGAACAGAACTGACAAGAAAAAAAAGTTTAGTTTTTAACGGCAAGACGGAGTGGTTAGGTGCAGAAAACCAAACATATTGCCGTTGCTCTTCATCGTCTCGCCGCAAAGCTGTCAGTGGTTCACCGCTGAAGCCACGCGTCTCCACATCACCTCGACGCTCGGCCCCCGTCATTTCTCAACCTGGTTCCATTGGCAGCTCACAGTAGTACCACAAGCCACAGAAATTACCAGAGAGCCCCACCTCCTGGCTAACTGTAGCCCATGCCTCTTCCATTATTATATATAAAAAAAAAAAAAGCGGCGGTTGTTGCCCACACACGGAAATGATTAGCTTTTCTGCCGGTGTTCACAAACGCCTCTGCTTACTTCAGGAAGGTGACGTCGGGGTAAACTGGTCACTGATTGGTGACTGATGAGAAAATGACTATTGACTATAATATCAGGTGCACGTCTGGTGGGCAAGAACGCCGACCCAGCTCTTGCCTCAAACCTTCCAGGCAGTTGTTTAGTGTGCCATCTGCTGGTGGGGTGATGTTGTTAACTCTCAAAATAAAGCAAATTAAAATAACATTTAAAAAAATAACCAATGGAACCAATGGAAAAATCCCCAAAAATGTATAATATCCTGC